ATGATAAGAATGGTGCAGGATAGGACAGAATTCAGATCTGTCGCTCATAGGGTTACTATCCATTGCAATCAATGGTACTTACCACCACCACCATTAGTATATTAATAGCATTTACTACAAATACAACAGGGAGTTTTGGTGGGTTAGCAGATAAAGAGCTAAGCAGCCAACCCAAAGCAGGACACTCAAATGCACAAGCTGGCCCACAGGACACAGACTCAATGTCTCTCACAAATGTATGTGGGTTAAAAAGTCAAACAAAATTTAACTTTGGGACAATTATTTAATTTCTGTTTTAGAATAGTCTTTTATCCACACTTACTTTCATTGTGTTATCTGCTAGTCTAGTGGTAAGAAACGGCAAAAGCAGGTGACTTGAATCCACTAGCTGCTCCTGCGGGGAGGATGGGAAATCTCCTTCTGTGTGACTAACTGCCTCTGAAAACCTGCTGGCAGGTGAGCTGTGGGTCAGTTCTGACTCAGTGGTACTCAACCACAACTCAGCAACAAAACAAATAAGCCTTCAATGCAAAATATTTTAACTTAGACTAAGCATGCCATGAAGCCTGGTAACGGATGTAGCACCACAGAGGTGGAGAGAAAAGAAAACCCTTCATAGTGAGGGCAGCGTTGACTGCTGACCAGGAGGTCTAGGAGCTAGAGGGAAGGTGGGAAACTTGCTGGCGTCTAGGAGAGATGCCTGCCAAGAGGGATTAGTCTCCAGGAACAATGGATCAGCTAAGGGAGGACGTTCATACAGTCCTTTACAATCCATAACACATTCCTTCACACCATTATCTTGCTTAAGCCTCCTAAACACTGAAGTGGGAAGATTGTTCTATAGAGAAGGAGGTCAAAGCTTAAAGGGAGCAAGTCTGCTACCTTAGGGCACACAGATGGAATCCAGGTCAAGGATGTGGCCAAAAAGGCTGGAGGATCTGTCATCCAGATGCCCCCACAACCAGCCATGAGATTTCCAATAACTATTGTGTAGGGAGCCTTTCTCCTCCCCAGTCTCTGTGGCTGCAGAGGTGCAGTACTGTAAGTTTCATTTCTGTGAACCATAGAGCCAAGAGGGACACTGCCACCGTCTTGCTCCTGTCAACCACTTGATATCTTCTTTGTGTTCTCAAGTGGCGCAGTTACAAGGGGACCTCGCCATGGTGCTCACCTAGGTAAAGTTAGATGCAGAGCAAGGTAAGAGAATTCCTCCTCCTACAGCCTACACTGCCGAGCCCACCATCTACTCTGCTTCCTCCACAGGCAGTAGTGTCTGAGGCAAGTACCCACATGCCTCTGTTTACTCATCTGTGAAATGGGAGAATTACATCTTGCCTTTATCCTTTCCAGAGAGGCTGAGGCCCAGTGAGTAGTAAGAGGAGGCAAGAGTACTAGTCTGCTGGTCTAGACAAGCCCAGGCTGCTGCCCTGCTTTTGGGAGCGTCCTCTATAAGGAGGCCCAGGGCTGAGCATACTGCTCTGATCTCAGGCTCCTAGGATCATGTGAGCATAAACAGGAAAAGCTGCTGGTGAGCCTAAGGCTGGCTGCCAAGGGCCAAGGATTGTCTGCCAGTGTAGGATAGGCATCCTCCCCTCTTCATTTCCTGCAACAGGTGGTCCTACATCTTCGCTCGAGCTGACTTCATTCCCTTATCCTAAAGGAGCAGGTTCCAACTCTCCATTCTTGTTTTCTTTTTCCTATGTCAATCCACCAACCTTTCATTAGACAGCACAATTTCCCTATAAACACATACACACACTGATCCCACCTTTTAAAAGGTGAAATCTCCAGGATACCAAATTCTTTGAATGGGTGTTCTTTGTAGAAATCACCTCAGGTTTCTCAGATGAGGGAGAGAACTGTTTAAAAGGGATATATGAATGGGTATTCTTGTCCTTACAGAATCCAGAGTGAAAGCTGCATAGTGGAGTGGACTTGGGGGGAGTGATTGCATAACAATGAAAGAGTTTTTATTTTTCTTTCCAAGGAGAAGAGTGAATTGGGGGAGGGGTTGGGTAGGGAGAAAAGTGCAACAACAAATGACTGGAAACCCTAAGTCTCTGTAAATTTTCATTAATTTAAAAAAAAATCACCTCAGGTTTCAGTCTCATGATACTTGGAGTGCCCCCTGATTTTAGGGCCCTGGTCCGTGAACCTGGTTGCCAGAGCCTCCATGCCCTCTTCAGCATGGCACCAAGGCCCATGGCTGGCTTCTGGCCAGCAGTTGGATGCCTCTGCCAAGCTGTCAAGATGTTTCCAGAGACCTGAGTGGACAAGAGTGCTGGATCAGCAGGTTTAATGCAGAACATGGTAGCGTTGAGGGTATACTCACTCACACTGGTGAACTGGACACTACACGTGAACCAACTGACCCCTTCTCCTGTACCCCTGTGCATTCCAACTCAGAAGAACACAGGTCCCAGGTCAGCTGTCCTGGTGAGGGGATTCCAAAGCTTATTCCATTCACCCAAAAGGACAGCCCACAGCACTACAGAGAGAAGGAAGAGAGGAAAGAAGAACAAAGCCTTCTAGTGGAAGGACTGGAAAGGTGTGGGGAACATGGTGTGGTAGTTGTGTTCTGGGTTCCATTCAAGCGGGCTCCACAGAGCAGACTCTGATGACCATGGGCAGTCCCCTCACTGACTAAGAGAGATGTTTCAAGTTACAAAGCATGTGTCTGCATGTGCCCCGTGAGTCCTCACAGCTGGCTGAGGCTACTGCTCAGTGGCACCCCACTTCCAGGGGATCTCAGCATCACTGAAGATCGCCCCTCTTCCCCAGGCTTTATCTCTGAGCCATCATCTCCCACGAGGTTGAGGGGCAGTGGCTGTCATGTGGGATGACTGCCTCCTCAGGTCTGGGAAGATGTTAATTTTGTGCAGTGATCTCCAGTAAAACTAAGCGATTTAGAAAGGAGGCAACCACAATCTCCCCACCCTCCACTTCTCTGGAGGCTGCTGTCATTCCCAGGGGATAGTCTCACAGTCTACCTGGCCCATCTGTCACGCCACTAGATCTGACTCTACATTCAGAACATTCATATCTGAACATTCTGCAGCAGAGATAGCTATAAGCAGGCAGGACTGGTCAGCTGAGCTTCAGCTGGACAATCACAGTTCAAGGTGTGTTGCTCGCTCAGGAAGCAGTTCGAGTGCCAAACAACCTCTACTCAGAAGATCAGGTTTCTCTGTTGAGAAGACACTAAAAAAATGACCAAACATGTAGACCAATTTTCTCTAGCAACGGCAAACTCAGCCCAAGTTGTTGCCATGGTAGGAGTCAACTCTCAGCTGACCCTCTGTTGGATGTCATGGGAGGAGATGAGATTGCCCATCTTTCTCCCTCTGGATGACACTCATGTATGTTTGAGTTGCTATCGTAGTAAAGTTATCGAAAAGATGGGGGCTGGATGTTTGGACAGGGCACAATGCCAGATTTGCCACAGTGGCCATTTTCCTTAGGACCACCTCTGCATCCCACTGTCCATCAGGGCATGATGTCCACCATCAAAGGGACTAAAGGAGCCCTGTTGGCACAATGGTTAAGTGCTGTGAACTCAAAAGCACATGGAGGGAAGCCAGCAGCAACTGTCCGGCAGCTGGTCCCTCCAGGGCTACTGCGTCAGAACTGACTCCACAGCACAGTGGTCAGAGGCCAAAGGGAATGATCCTGTCCACTCTGAGGCTCCCACGCCCCACCCACTGCCCCAGGAACCCAGGAAGGCCCAGGAGGGGCAGCTGGCTCCCACTGCTCCCCCAGGACAGGAAAACGTGAAACTCCTTGTATGTGCTACTGTTTCCCTTCTAGAGAAGTCATGGGTGACTCAAAGGGCAAGAAGAGTCTCAACTCCTAGAAAAATAGTCGTGAAGACCTCCAGAGGTGCGTCCCTCTGTCCTTAAGCAGGTCTTCAAGTCTGATAGGTAGGTAAGTTGCAAACAATTCTCGTCAAATCTACTTTAAGGCAAGAAAAAGTGTCAGTTCTTTCCAGAGCAGCAAGTGCAGATGACTCTTATGAATTTGTGCCAAGGAGGGATTTGCTCAATTATTTCAAAGTTAGGGCAAACATACTTACAAGGAACTTTTGAGCTGCCCCTAAGTAAAGACTTCACAACTGCTCGGACTGATTGTGCCTGTTTTGCATTTTTAATAGAAGCATACCTTTTTGAAAATACAAATAATTGTATTTCAGGAGTTTGGGCTGGAAGGAGGCATGAACTGGTCCAGTGAGCAGTAGTGTTCTGGAGAATGGAAAACCTTTCTCTCTGCACTCCGCCCAGGTAGGGCTACGCTTCCAGAAGCGCGGAGGACAGTAGTCTGGGCGGTCAGGACCAGCGTGCGTTGGCCAGACAGTCCAAGGAAGAGACCCTGGAGAAGGCGAGGGGTGGGTCCCGGGGCTGGACCTTGGACTTAAGCATGCAGGACCCTCAACCCAAGCGAGGTATGTGTGCGGAACCACGCTGGTGAGGAGCGACAGGTGCCTCTTACAAATCCGCTGACCACCGCACACCACCTCC